TCCCAGGCAATGAGAAGGCGGACTCTCTCGCAAAGGTGGGCGCGCAGGAAGGCGAATTTTATGACAGGCAAATTTCACACGATGAATTTTACCATTTAGTGCGTTAGAGTACCCTTTCGAGTTGGCAAACCGATTGGGACAATGGAAATCTTGGACGGTGGTTACATTCAATTATTCCTAATGTTTCTCCGAGAGCGTGGTTTAAAGGCTTGGACTTAAGTTGTGACTTCATTCGCGTGATGAGTAGACTTATGTCCAACCACTACTCGATGCTCATCTCAATAGAATAAACCTCGTGGACAGCAACATCTGTCGGTATGTAAACGGTTACGATGACATCGATCACGCAGTTTGGCAATGTACGGATAATTACGCCGCCAGAGAGCGACTTTTGAATACCCTTGAGGCCCAAGGAAGACAACCCTATGTTCCTATCAGAGACGTGTTGGGAACTCGCGATATCAGCTATGTGCAGTCGGTTTATGTGTTTCTTCAAATGTCTAGTATAATAATTTAATTCCTTTGTCTTTTGTCTCTCTTTAATAGTTTTTGTTTGTCTTGTCCCCCCGTCTCGATGAGTCTCATCGTCGCCCACTGGTCACCATAGCCGGTCGAACTCCAGACGAAACTAGAACCCCACTACCATTCATACTGGCGACAACGCTTTGATGAGACAACGAAACCTTACCCCCAAGCTCCTCCCCTGATCCTATCCTTCGACAATGTACCTCTCTAACCTCGAGTAAGCCGCGGGTATTCGGCCCAACTCCTACTAGACATAGAATTAAGTGAATTTTGTTACAAACAAAGAACAATGAACTATCGGCTCCGTAAAGCTAACGCGATTGAGCCTTCCAAATAAACGAACTATTAAAAAAAAAGTTAAAACTTTAGCGTTCGCGTTGTTATGATATACTTCGTAGATTGGATACTAGCGACACTCACGTCTCTTCTGAAATTCTCAGTTAGACTACTTTCAGGAATAATGCTGGGGAGTAAACATTGGTTCCAATCTAAACAAGAGTAACAGAAGCATAACTGTCCCTATTCCCGGCCACACCCATCTTTACCATAACTAGGGATAGGGAAGGAAATGTTGATGTAGTACTTACTTAACGAGATGCCACCGACTTAGCGACACCCTCATAAGGGCTACGGAGTTGGAGGGTTGGATAGGGTATTCGGTTAGGATTCTTCTCAAGTTGGCGATGCAACCAAAAGTATGTATTGTTTATTTGTTGTTTATTTAATCTTTCGATAGCCGGCTATCGAAAGAACATATTAATTTTGTTTAGTGATCATGAATTTTAAAAGTCATGACGGAGAGCTTGGGATAAACCCATGATTTTCTGCTCAGTAAGCAAAAACGATCCCTCCAGGGTCATCGAGCATCTCAGAACCATAACGCTTCGCGACAATACAGGACTACGTTTTCGATTGATATGCAAACAGTTTCCGAGGTTAATGTTCAATATCAAATATACAAATGATGGTGGCTATTTATTGTGCTGTGGAAGAGCTTGGGGTTAAATCCATGATTTTCTGCTCAGTAAGCAAAATCGATCCCTTCAGGGTCATCGAGCATCTCATAATCCACAGCGCTTCGCGTCAAAGTATGAATATATGGATGAACTATCTATTATTGAATAACTATTATTTACGATAATTACATGAAAGAAATAAAATATAAACTACAAACAAAACGTGACTACTAAAATCTCAAAAAGATATTCTCACAAATATATTTCACGCAACCAGGAATCTCAAAACCATTAAACGCTATAATGATACTCTGCACATGTTAGACACAAGAAGAGGCCAAAAGCAAGCGTCCGTCATACAAAACCCGCCAAATCAACTTGCAGTCACAATCAACCATTCTACGAATCGCGAGCGCTCACGAATCATAAAACCGCTGAATGCTACACTCTGAAAGCGAAATTGACAGGCTCTATGCGTCAAACCTCCGCCCTCCAATCTCCTCCCGCATCCAACAACACAAATCTCCATTACAACATCTAACGAATTCAAAACTCCGAAAATCACTCATCTATAGCAAGTGAGTGGAAGCAACCCTGCATGCAACCATTGTTCATGATACACTTTTTCTGTCTATCTTTCTATTAGGCCTATGGACATGCGTTAGCTTCGAAACTTCTAACCAAACTGGGAAAATTTTCAGATCATAAAAAAAAACTAATATATATTGATTATTTTACGCAAAAACGAGCAATTAATATAAATCTCTTGTATCGTATGCTAATGCTAATTGACTGTAACAAAAATAATATGCCTAAATAAAATAAAATATTAATAAAATTATATGCAAAATTTACTAGAAGATCATTACTTTATTGGTGAGAAGTTTCTAATAAGCCCTCCCAGTTCCTCTGTATACAGAACACATCTGATACTACAATCAGAATTGCTCAGTCTGCATGAAGCAGCCGATTTCATCAAGGAGGTTCTAATAACAACCAAGAATTAATCGTTTGAGGCATACTGAAGCATTCAGAAGGTGATATGTGTCACTATAGGAAATCATCATCGTTGCAAATATAAAGTAATTAAACATAACCCTTTGCTTCAGTACCGTCAACCTCCATATCCATGGGGAGGGCATAATACATAAGGTTGAAACTTTATCACACAAACGTTCATGTAAAGTTCCATAACCATTTCAGTTAAAGTTTAGCAAGGATTATAAACAATCCCGTATAAAAAAATACAACAAAAATACAATCACTTTCATTGTCATTGTAACCATGTTATTTAATGTCAAAACATTGGACATTTTTGTCCATCACCATAAAATCACAACGAAATTCATGGTTTACAACAATGAAAATCATGGTATTTGAGAAATTTACAGTAAAAAAGGGGGGTTGTTAAGCATCTTAACAATATAAAAAAGTGATTTTTCTCGAACAAATTTGATCTCATCACACTAATTTTCGTTGTTTGAGCATTGTATCGTTAAAAATCGAAGTCCATTTTTTCTCCCGTACAAAAATTTAGCAATAAATTTTAATGTACTCGAAATTCAACAGTAAAAATCATTGTAATTTCGTTGTTTTATTATAATTATTATTTTTTCGGGATGTTTAACCATTTTCGGTAAGGTCAAGTTATGATTCGCGTTTATGCGGGTAATCATGGCCAGGACTCAATAAGGTAACCCTAATAAAAATAACCATAAAAGCAACCGGTCCGCACTCGTGTTTATTTCAGTTACCATGAGGACGTAATTTGTGATTAGCCCCGTTTCCTTTCAAATTGTATCATTATTTATGTACGGCCTTAAATTTGAAATGACGTTTCACATTTATCTAGCGATGGCCGATTTTCATTCGAATAATCGATTAACGAACCGAAAAGTAAAATATTTTTTTTTTATTGTGTTTATTTATAAGGCCCCCTCGCCTATTAGGCATTGCTTGGGCCGATGACCATTATTTACAATGAGATCCCTTCCCACTTTTATTTTTCAAATAAAACGTATTATCCCCTATTTGATAAGTTGCATTATTTTCATCTAAACGATCTATTTGCTGACCAGTCTTCTGGGTGCACTGATCAGCACGAACTTTCTTTTTTTCGTTTCTCCTTGTGTTTCGACAGCCGGCGTTTGTTGGTATTTTCATTGAAATCCTTTGTTGCGTTTGATGAGCTGGTGCTAGAGTTTTCGTCGTTGCTTGAAGTGTGATGATCCTCGGTTTGATTGTCGGTGTTTCGCTGTTGTTCTTCTGCTGAGAACCCGGTGAAAGCAGGAGATGATTGACCCGATGTCGTTGGCTGGTTTTGTTCGATATCAATCGACGGGAAATCATCGAGACTGAATACCCCCTCGGTTGGTGGAGCTGCTGGAGCGGTGCTATTGTTCGATGTGGCTACATCCAAACATTTCTGTTTGTGATGTGCTGCTCAGCCACAATGGCGGCACGTTTTTGGTTGCTTGTCATACGTTACCAACGTTGTTTCGTTGTCGACCGTGATGTACGATGGAATGGCGCTTTCGAGTCGCATTCGTAAAACTCGAACACCGCTCATGAATCCTGGGAAGTAGTGCTTCCATTTCTCATGTCGACTGGAAATCACTGTCCCGTACTTTACCATGTGGTTCATAACAGTGGCTTGTGGCCATGCCAGAGGAAGATCATGCACTCGAACGGTCACTGCTTCACAATCCACATATACCGGGATTTTGCATTCACTCTTCGCACAGAGAATCGCGTGTTTATAGTTGTGCGCCTTTCCATAGCGCAAGGCAACTTCATTATCTATCATCTCAATAAAAACACAATTTCGGACGTTATGAAACTGAATGCATCTAACGTCCGAATATTGAAGCTTAATATTGTTCTCGAAGAATTTTTGCACTTTTCCCGCATTGGGACGAACTGGAAGGACACTGAAGTCAACAACAAGTGTGTTTTTACGGACTACACTCATTTTCGCTACAATATTTTTCCAAGTTAAGCAGAGCAGAAAGAGAACACGTCCGATGAATACGAGTAATGGCTGTCGGATGGAAAAAAAAAATATTGTTTGTAATCGGTTATATAATGCTGATATAAGCATTAACTTCTCCAGAGGATCATCACCCATCGTTTCAAACATATGCTGCTCTTTTATTGGTGGAAAAATGACAGCACAGCGAACAAAATATCAGGCATAACATTTGATAACGGCACAAAAGCATTTGTGAACAAACCTTCTAAGGCCCTTTACACGCGAAGCAAAGTACGCCCACGCAAACCAGCTTTACGACGTGTTCGGGGTATCATTCAAACCATTTGTGGGATAGTTTACCCATCCGGGATACAGTTGGTTTATGGTATTTGTTTATTAGGGAAAGCGGGAATTTGCATACTTTTTAAACTTTTTTTAAATTTATTTTTGAGTGTGTACTCATATCAGAACCTAAATGCATCCCTGACACCGGTGGGCAAAAGCGAAGGCGGGCTAAATCCCGGCTGGTGCTGTCATCAACGAAGAGCAGCTTTCGAAATGTATTGACGTGTCGCAGCTAAAAGTATCTTTTTCCCTCAACGCTGGAAAATTTTCCCTACATTTTCTACTTTTCTGGCCTTTCAGTTGTTCTTAAATAGCATAGAAAGATAAATAACTGCAGCTCGACATGTTTGTGTGGCGTAGTTTATTGTTATACGTGTTGATTGCGGTGGAGCTTTCCAGTGCTCTGTATTTTCATATAGGTGAAACCGAACGCAAGTGCTTCATCGAAGAAATTCCCGATGAGACTACTGTTATAGGTATTATATTGTTTTGTATGCTCAATAGACATTTAGAATCATCACCCACATTTAATTACAGTTAACTATAAAGTCGAACTATACGATCCACGAAGCGGGGGATTCATGCCATCTTCTCCTGGCATCGGAATGCATGTCGAAGTCAAAGATCCGGATGACAAGACCATCCTTTCCCGTGTGTACAGTTCAGAAGGTTAGTTAGCTTTTAATAGCATTATGGAATACTAATAAAATACTAATATTAATTGTGTAGGCCGAATCTCCTTCACTTCGCACACACCCGGGGAGCATGTCATCTGTATGTACTCCAACAGCACAGCCTGGTTCAGCGGATCTCAATTGCGAGTACATTTGGACATTCAGGTCGGCGAACATGCTATAGATTATGCCAATGTAGCACAGAAAGAAAAATTAACTGAGCTGCAGCTGCGTATCCGACAGCTGTTGGATCAGGTCGACCAAATTACCAAGGAACAGAACTATCAGAGAGTAATTGGAACATTAGCATAGTGTAGCGTTTGTCCATGGTATACTAATTTTATTTTCATTATTCTAGTACCGGGAGGAGCGATTCCGTCAAACAAGTGACAGTACAAACCAGCGTGTTCTATGGTGGTCGCTTGCGCAAACCCTTGTCCTGGTAACCATGGGTCTGTGGCAGATGAAACATCTGAAGAGTTTCTTCGAGGCAAAAAAATTAGTATGAATCGTAGCCTATGGACATGGTTTGCTAGCCTGGTGGCATCGTATGATCAACTGATAATTGTGTGGTCAGTAAAATTTTTCGCTGTATTGGCGTAATGACTTGTAAGTCAATAAGTAGTTGTAATTTGTTTGGAGGAATCGAAATAAACTTTTGAAAAGTAAATTTAGGTAGGTAGGGGAAATGGATGTAATGTCGGCCTAAATGCCCCTAATTTGAACCCATACATAAATTCAGCAATCGACTAAATTTTCAATAGCGACCAAAAATATCCATTAGTACCGTCCCAATGACGCGTTCATCTAGATAAAATTGATATATAGCAGATTTTTAGCGATGGGCCCAATCTTAGATCCATAGGCCAACATTGGAACCATTTACCCTAGTTATTTCTTTAAAACAAAACATTCAAAGTGATGTGAGCCTCAACAGTTGTGTAGAATACATCCTATTTGATACGTTTTGAATGACACTGAGGCCTATTCTGCACCGTGAGCAGAGCTGGAAAATATCACGGCTGTCATGTGAGAATGAGAAAACAGGTCCTCTCACTATCACGAGACGAAACTACCTATCATTAGCTTTCTTGTCATTTTCCAATGATCAAGCACTCATGAGAATAATGTACATAAGTATTAACCCGGTTACACACATTTCAGGTCATCCAGGTCTTAAATAAGATGGGATCCGTTCCTTTTATCAACAGTTGTGATATTGCATTATATGCTGAAAATATATGAATTATCGCGTATTTCTGTTGTTCATTACATACCAGGTGAGGGCTTAATCATGTTTTGCCATCTAGTGTTTTGGTTTTGAGATGCTCGATAACCTTAGAGGGATCGGTTTTGCTTAATGAGCAGAACATCATGGCCATGGGTTTAATCCCAAGTTCTCCCACAACATAACACAACACAAACATATCAAGTATCATTCTAGCTAAAAATATTTATTTGCATAATATAACCTGGAAATTTCAGGGTTACATCTTCCTTATTGGGAGCTGAGGAGACATAGAGCTGCATCATATTGTATGTAAAATAATTATTATTTTCATTGCGGAATACCAGTTTTTTTTTTATCCATATAAATGTATTTTCATTATTACGTATTTTAATGTTCTGATATATTTCATTTCTCCATTACATATGTTTACTATATATATAAAAAAAATACTGGGTTGGGAGGGAGCATCAGGGTATCATTTGACCTGGAACTGGACGATTGGAGTGGTATGACAACCGGAGTCTAGGAGGAAATAAACACTATCATTTTCTTTATTCTACCGATTCGATTGTGATGGTGTGAATTCTACTCCAACAGTTTCATGAAGATTGACGCGCCCTTCTTAACAAACCATCCTGTAGGAAGCTTAATAAGTATTGGGAATTGCGTTATTCGATTTGTTGGATCGTATCGTTGGAAGGAGATTCTTAAATTCCCGTGGATTTCGCGTAAGTGCCTCTGCTTACGGGTCCACCCCACCGTTTTTGGCCCTTCATACAGCGATATTGTGAATTCAGATCGGTAGCTCAAATTGATCTTGCTATTAAGTGGAGCTGCATACAAGACAAGATCTTCGAAGGGATGGTGGCTACCTTACATACATACATACATACATCAAGCACTCATGAGAATAATTATATTGCGGTTTTAACATCTACATTTCTAACTGATTTAGATTAGTTCAAGCAAGTAACCGTATGTAATCGGTAGAGTGAATATATTATTACGATTTTCTCGGTACAAGTAACTTTAAAAGCAATAAATGAGGTAGTAATTACGATGATCACAACACTGTCACGTTTTGTCATGACGAAAAATTCGATGAGATTTTGAAGAAAATCTCTATCATCGTTTTCTCATCCGATGATAGTGACAGAAGTATCTCTGTAAATATCGCGTGAGATCTTTCATTGAAAATGACATTTGCCAGCCCTGACCGTGAGTTCTAATTCTGCTATTATCGTAATCCAGCCATGCTGGTGACCATCAACCACGTAAAAGCGCAAATTCGTACGTTGCATCGTCAATTTGTGGAAAATTTCATCCGAGACATTCTTGGCTGGAGAGAGCATATCAACTTGGTAACATACGACGAAAAAAAACTATGATAACAGCACTGCAGAATGAGCGAGGAGAACAAATTCAAGGCTCCCTAGAGATCGAGCAGCACATGTTCCTATACTTTAGGGATCTGCACGCGACAGAAGATACGAGACATGATGGTGAAGAAACGTTCGAAACAACGCTGCCCTAAGCAGAGATAAGCACTGACGAGTTGAAAAACTCCATCCGAACGTCGCAAAAACGAAAATCGCTGGGGATTGATGGTCTGCCGGTAGAGTTCTACCTACGTTAAAAATCGAGGTGGTGATAGGACAGCCTGTTCAACGTCGACTATAAAATTCTCTCCCACGTGATGAAGGCCCGCCTGGAACACGTACTGCAGACCCATAGAGTTCTGAGCGAAGCTCAAAAATGCGTCACCACCGACCGCTCAATTTTTCAAGTTACACTCTAGCTAAAAGATCGTGTTGCACAGCTAATCGCAAGGGAGCAGAAGGGAAAGATGATCTCGTTCGACCTAGACCACGCGTTCGATCCTGATGAGACGGGGCTTGACAATCGGGTAGCGATTTCGAGCCAATTTGCTGTCAGTTTCTTATTGGTCGAGCCAGTTTCTTATTGGTCGATTTGACAGTAGCAATCGTGGAATAAAAAGGACAGAGGGATCACATCAATCAGGCTGGCAGTGATGCCGGAATCAATATTGACGTCTTCATTCCTTTATTTAACGTCGGTCTCTGTTCCCTAATAAAAAATAACCATAAACGAATGATAACCCAAATCATTGAACTATTCCACAAATGGTTTGGATGATACCCAGAACACGTCGTTAAGCAAATTAACCATACAATTTTTATTAGGGTTCCGCAATCTAGTGCCAATCACCGACGGACATCGATTGCCATCCATTGCCGACAATCGAATGTGCAGGAAGGCAGCTTCCACACCTGCGTATCGCACCCATTCCCTTTCGAAGGAAGACATGACCTCGGACGTGACCAGAGATTTTTATGCCTCAGAAAAATCCCACCGACCTCGGCTGGGATTGAACCCAGACCCATTGGGGTGTTAGAAAGCAGTCACGCGTACCACTACACCACCGGCGCCGGCTAAATGTTGACGTCAGTGGCGTTGTTAATTGTTTATATTTGCGAAAGGAAAGTTGAAAAATTGAGGGCTCTGCGTGTTTTAAGCGATGGATATTGTTGTTTGTTTATAGTTGTTTTTATTCTGTTGAGCAAAAATTATGTACAAGCTGCTAAACAGTGACAGAAACTCCGAATAAAATCCAAATTAAAATAGAAAAATAATTTACATTACTGGCATCATTGATCAACTCCGTCAAACACCACGCACAACTATCCGAACACACTTAGAAAATAATACCGAACTCGGTTTAATTTTCTACCGAACCTCATCGGTTATCAACGAGAAACCGAATAAATCGTTTAAAAACATTTTTTTAGGCGGATTTATAAAATCAGACCCGAATTTCGGTGAAATAGTATAAATTTGACAGATAAAAACGAAGGCTGAACCGAAAAGTACGGTAAAGTATCAACATTTACGAATTCGGTACGTGAAAACCGAGAAACTCGGTAAACTGAACCGAATATTCGCTAAAACGTGTTAAACGTCAAACGTTCCACTTGCGCTCAACTTCGCGACGGAAAATTTAACCGAAAACTCGGTTCTCTACGAGGTTCTATAAGCTGAGTCTAAAACTATTCAGCCATTTTTTCTCGAGTGTGGACGTGTGTCGGACGTGTGCAAAAATGGAAAAGGTTCTGGAGCAGCTGCAACAGGAGGATGCACGTTTGATTGACATCTTTTGTAAGTATTTGAAACTAATGCTATGATTTTATTTGCAGGAATCTTGTGCTATCGTTTGTTTTTACTGCCGTGAAAATATACAGGGTTATGTCACTGGCTTGCAAAGGCATTTTAAAAACCATTTACATAAAAATGACTTCAAAGCCAGTGATATTTTTTTTGACTGTGCTTTTCCACGCTGTAACTCGCGTTACGGGAGTTTTTATTCGCTGAAACGGCATATAGTGGAAAAGCATCCGGCAAACTCTCGACGTTCTACCGTGGAAGAAATTTTTGATGATTGTCCTGTGGCAGGACAAGGAACATATGATGATTTATTGTTCCAGAATCAACAGAACGGTCCTAAACTCGAATCAAGTATAGATTTGGAAGAGTTAATAAAAATAATAAATATTAGCATCTGCCGCATTACATATGATGTAGGTTTACCTTACACAAAAATCAATGATTTTATAAAGCTTTGTGACGAAATAGTTCGGCACGTATCAGGGTACCTTGAGGCAGAAACAGTGAAATTTTTGAGTGCACAAGGATTTGATGTTGACACGAAGGATTCCGTAGCGTTTCTAAATACATTTAGACTATGCAATCTTTTTGACCAGGTCAGATCCTTCAAAAAGCAGACACAGTACTTGAATAAGCTTGCCGTTTCTACACCCAAGCCGAGGGATATTTTGCTTAATCGGAGACAAGATGTACGCCACATCGAATCACTTCCTAAAAAAGTTATGGTAAACGAGACCGCTTCGTACACCAGCATTATTGATTCATTGAAATTCATATTCAGAAGCCCAGAAAATCGGAAACTTTTGAATGAACCGAATCTAGAAACTTCCAGCACGCCTTGTGTAACCGAATACAGCACATTCAGGACAGGTGAAATTTTCAAAAATAGCGAATTCTTTCAACTGTATCCTAATGCCATCAGGATCAGTGTTTACCAAGACGATGTGGAACTTGGCAACGCATTCGGTTCAAAAGCCGGGATAAATAAAGTTTCTAACTTATGTTTCAAAATACAGAATATTCCTGAGAAGTGGAATTCTTCACCACGTACAGCTTTTCCGCTTCTATTCTGTACTTCAGTAGACATAAAAAAGCATGGATTCACAAAAATTCTGGAGCCTTTCGTCGCTGACCTAAAAAAGTTGGAACAAGGCGTAACGGTTTATTACGGTTCAGAGAAATTCGTCTTAAGAGCTGTTATGACGATTTTCTGCGGCGATACACTTGCGGTTCATGACGTGTTTGGGTTACTTGGACCAAGGGCCAACTATTTTTGCCGAATTTGCCAGATTACAAGGAATCAATTTCATTCAAATCCATCCGAAGAATATCCGTTGCGATCGAAAGAATGGTATGAAGATCAACTTGCTGCAGTACAGGATGGTTTGCTGATACCGAAAGATTGTGGACTGAGTACATCAGGATGTATTTTCAATGAATTAGAGTTCTACCATACCAGTAACAACTTCTGCCTCGACAGCATGCACGACCTTGCTGAAGGGATAGTGCCCCTGACGATCCAACTAGTGCTATCAACTTTATACAAACAAAAACATTTAAAGATAACAGCAAAGTTCATAAACAATCGCATTAACACATTTCCTTTTGGTTACGCTGACCGCTGCAACAAACCTTCACCAAATTTTAAAGACGAAATGCTCGCTAACCCTGCCCAGCATAAAATCAAACAAACATCTGCACAGTCTCTTCTCTTGATAAGAGCTTTCCCGTTCCTTTATGGTCATGTTGTCTCCAAGGATTGTATGCTCATGCGTATGATCGGTCATCTAATTAATATCGTGAGGATAATTTCGTCACCAGTCGTATCTGAACACCTACTTGCACAGCTGGAAGAACATATAACATACTTTGAGGATAGTTTTTTCGAAAACTTTAAGCAGCGTATCAACAAGTTGCATCACTTGCGTCACTACGCTCTCTGCATAAGGAAGAGTGGTTCAATGAAACAATACAATTGCTTTCAATTTGAACAAACGAACAAAATAAGCAAGAATCAAGCGAATACGTGCAAAAACTATAAGAATATTTGTTCCAGCTTGGGCAAGCGGCAATGTCAGAGAATGATAATGAACGTGCTTGATAAGCCATTCCGCGACAAGCTGACATTCAACTCTGGAACCCTAGCCTTACGTGATGACTGCCTCAGTGAACAATTTCTGTATCCACATCTGCAGTTTATCTGCAAACCAAAAACCGTCACGCTTAATGGGGTTGAGTTCAGAATGAACGCGATACTTGGATTAAAAATTCATGACAACGAGTTCTATCCGACATACGGGATTATACGAGAAATCAATGTCATCGATGGAAAAGTTTTCTTCCTAATTCGATCCTCTAAAACTGCGACGTATAATGATTTTCTAGAAGCGTACGAGATAGAAATCCTAGCCAAAGATGATTTTATGTCTATTGAAGAATGCCATACGCATTCAATATTTTCATTCTGGTCACCATACGACAGTCCGAAGAAGTACATTTCACGGCGAGTGTACAATCAAGATTATTAGTACAAGTAGTTAACAAATAACTCTGTTGGAACTTTAGAATATTTAATGGCAGTAATTCTTTTTCAGCTAAGGAAGAGATCGACAACTTACAAATGTTTCTATCACTGAACGAACATGACTTTACCAGACTCGGACTCACTACAAAAATGATCAAAACTATACAGAAGATACAAACACAGTACAGAAATTACGATGAAACTAAGAGCACGGAAGAATGGCTTGAGGACACTATGGTTGACGCTGATTATCATGAACAAGCTGATGTGTCCAGAAGGGTGATCAATGCAAACAATCCGTATGAAGGGATCATCTTGGAGCAGGTTTGAAACGTATCAATATTATATGTGGGTCATTCAATCAACGTATATTTGTTTCTATATATTCTAGAAAATCAATATTGATCGGGTATTTGATCGAACCGACAACGGAATATGCATCATGGAACTACTGAAAGAAGGTGGACGACCCAAGGAAACGATTCGAAGACAAATCACAGCACTTCTTTGCGATTGCTTGAAATCATTGTATGGAACGTAAGTAATCACTTTGTTCCTAGAAATCTATTGAACGTTATTTTGTAATTTATTAGTTTAAACGAAAACCTAGCTGACGATGTTTCTGATTAATACAAGCATAGCTAATTATTGATTTGTTTGTTTGTTTCCAGGCACGCCAGCAACTTCTACAAAAATCAGATCGCCTTGTCACTGGTTGAAACATATCCTGCACTGAGTTCGAAGAATGCCGAGATTCCACAAGTAAGTCAACAGTTTTAACTAATAGCGTTAATTATCACCAATAATTAATAAGCAATATATTGAAACTTTCTACTATGTATTTGGAAAACATTGTTTGTGCTGCAGCCGTAGTTGACATTGTTTACGAAACTTAGTGTAAAGCAAGCAATGCGAAGCGTCAAAGGCAAAGGAATTGAAATGGACAAAAAATTGGTCGAATTTCTCGCGCAACATTTGAAAAGGGAATATTATTGTTGATCGATTCTCTTCATCGTTTTTCTCTCACGAATTTTGTGGATTGTATCGCGTATTATTTGAATTAGAGTGCCTGAATTAGTAGAGCGACGTCATCTCAGTCATTTGACAAGCCTTCTGCTGGATTGAAACGGCGATTTGTATGGAAATGACACCTAATCGGTTGTTCCAATTTTGACATGTTACTCTACTAATAAAGGCGCTCTAATTTGAATGATAGCTTGATCAACAATGATAGGCGCTTTTCAAATGTTACACGAGATTAATATCGATCAATAATTAAATTACAACAATTCTCGATTGATTTTAGAATAGGTCCCATTTTCATTTGTCAATTAAATAATCGATTAACTTTATTCGCTTTCTACCGCGATCTGAGCGATGGATTTGCAATACTGATCCATGCAATCAACAGTTCAAGGTTTGAGATTTGATTGCATGTGTAAATATTTCAAATCCATCGCTCAGGTTGCGGTAGAAACCGAATAAAGTTAATCGATTCTTTGATCGAAAAATGGAGATAGGACCCATTCTAAAATCAATCTAGAATTATTGTTTGTCCCTTCCTTTTCCTTTGATGCTTCTTCTATACAGTGTTGTCACTCAGTTGTGTGTGTGATTGCTTCACCTCGGTAATCCAGCTCATTGGCTTTACACTACGTTTCATAAACAATGTCAACTACGGCAGTAGCACAAACCTCGACACAAACACTGTTTGCCAAATAGTAGAAAGTTTGTCTTGTAAACTGAATCTCGTTCGTTTTTAGTCGCTGTGGTTCCATCCCCACGGAAGAGGGCTGAACCGTCATGCTGGCAGTGTATATTACAGAATGGAGAATGTGGCAAGGCAGTCAGATGAACGCATAATCAAACGCCGAAAACTTGGTGAATTCAGCCATACAAATGAAATTGATGCGACTCTTGAACAAGAAGATGACAATATGGAGGACCTTGTAAATTTAAAGGTAAATATCAAAATGGGTAAACGATTAATATTTTCTTACAAATTTCAGGTGCTTGAATTGAAGTTCATTGTTCCAAATGTTCAATCTAAGGTGAGAATTGTTGAACTATGGGAGAAAACATTTGCAAGTCGACAACAAAAACGTACAGCGGGGACTTTGGTGGAATATTTGAAAGATTTTCCCGTGATTGGTGCCTTTAATGGAGAACTTGTAAGTGTATATTGAATAATCTCATGAGTACTTTTTCAATAGGCTCTGTGATTTCTTTGATAGATAAAAACAATCTGATTATTTTACTATATTCACACCCTTGTCAGGACCTATACAAAAACTGTACTTGAGATTTGGTAGATCGAATATTAATAATTTATTTCTGTAGATCAAACTGGAATTTACAAAAATCAAGCCTGGAGCGAAGTCGTTCACCGATCACTGGGAAGAATTACAGAATAAGATCCTTAAGCAGTACGCTGATATGTTCGTGGAGTTGAAAAACAGTAAGTTGCGTTTAAAGCTTCAATGAGTCCACACATTTAGATAATTAATTTCCCATAGAATTCATCAGAGCGCTGGCAATAATCCGTGCTAAATGCCCATCACGTGGTGTTAAGCGAAATAAAATCAATGATGCTACCAAGAAAAATCCATTGGCTGGCGTCATGGAGTGGATAAGTGTAAGATTATTAGATTGCCTATTGGATAGGTTATCGTATTATACAAGTACCTTTAATTTTTATTTTCAGCCAGAAGATGATTTTCCCACTGATAAGAATGGCCCGGTATTGATTTGCCGAGGAGCGTTCATGGAGGATTCAGCAGACTTTGCCGTCTGTTTGGGATCAATGTTGGTCAATGTCCAACTTGACGTTGCGTCTGCATTTGAGGTTTGGTTCGGTTCGTTTACTGCATTCGGTTTGGAACCACCGCAACAGGACAAGCAGTTCCATTCCTTTCTTGCCGGCGCAGTCTATCGTGTAGGTAGTATGAGCACTACATGTGAGAAATTTTTAGTTTCGCTCGATTGAGCCTCTCCTTCTCATGGTAGCGACGGTTCCTTTTTGAACAGCTTCTTTTTTTAATAATTTGCAATTATAAAATCACATTTCTGCATCCCAAAACAAATAAAATAAACACACTTCATACATTTCTTTGACAAAACTGGTTTTATTTTTATGAAAATTCGAAGCAACGTATCCTTAATCCAAATTTAAAGCAGGATTTGAAGTGAAAACCGAGCGCTGCCCAAAAGAACCGAATTCCGTAATTACAACAGGTGGGTCGGTTTGTTTGACAGCACTCGGTAGTTCTTGAGTGAACCGATGTTCGGTAATTTCTGCTTAAATTTATTTTTCGTCAACCGAGATTTTCGGTAACTTTGACAGATTGTGGGTACAAAAAGAACTAACGACTGCTCGGTTATTCCTCTTTGAACCGAGCAGACTACCGAGCGTTCAGCAGATAAAAACTCGGTTGAAATCAAACCGAGTTCGGTATTATTTTCTAAGTGTGAAGGGATAGCGGCGCCGGTGGTGTAGTGGTAAGCGTGATTACCTCTCACCCCAGAAGGCCTGGGTTCAATCCCAGTCGGCGCCGCCGGGATGTTCTGAGGCATAACATCTCTGATCACGCCTTCCTTCGGAAGGGAAGTAAAGCCATTGGTCCCCGGTTCATGAGTTGATGGGTCGATAGGTAGGGTCCAGGTGTGGGAGCTGCATTCCTGGCGTCGGTAGCATTGGTGCTCAGCACGGAAAACAAGATCGACGGAAAACAAAACCAAGGAAAAAAAAACTATCCGAAGGGCTTTCTTCAAAAACATTAAGAAGAGTAAGAAGCTGGATTGTCAAGTCCCGTCCCGGGTTCGATCTAAAGCCCCACAGTAAAAGTATGGACGTCTGTCAAAAGTTGTTCCAATCGAAGGGTTTTAGTTCGATCGAGTCTCTCATGAGTTCCTGCATTATACCCTTCTCTCTCTGATTGCAACCTCAACATAAACGTTCGAACGGATTTTCAGCTATTCGATTGCTTCGAAATCATTGGCGAGGCAAAGCTAAATCGTTATAAAACAGTAGCAATCGATGTCGGATTTATTAATGGAGATCCACTGTCGATACCAGGACTGTAGACGGCTGAGAAGGTAAAAGTTCTGGACGTTATTTTTGCCAACTCACTGCGGCTGATGGTGAAGCTAAACTGGGACACAAAATTCGGCAGCTTATATGGATGCATAGCATAGTCATGAAAACCTTCTAAATCATCACAGCGAAGGTGCGGTTCTTCTCGTCCATAATACCGTATGGCACGTATGGCTTTCTGGCTAATCCATATTATCGTACTCTATTGGAACTATCAATCTATACTCTTTAGAACTTTCTCTAGCTAATAATTTGTCGCACTAAAGCTTCCTAATGTTGATATTAGTATAGCATTTCCTCCAAACTCTGAAAATCTAATTTTTTCCTTGTTTCAAGATCATCCACGGTCCAGGCAACCCGAGGACTTATCACTATCAACAAGGCATAAAAAGTAACAAGGACTAGGATGTGTTCCTTTGATTTCTGAATAATCCTGTTCCCCTAGTTTGAAGTATTCAAGACTAGGAATCGGTGGTAGATCTTACATCCCGTAACGAACCACGAAAAGGTGATCTACCCACATAATTAGTTTGGACTCTAAATTATTCCATAAAAAATGAAATTAATCTATTTAGAATCTTTCTTTCTAATATCACGTTATCCTAAAACTTTACACATGCACACAGTTCGAAAAGGTAGTGTAAATTTCTGTTTAATATGATGCACATAAATGGAGCGTCACATATCATATACGTTTACATTATATATCATGTAAAGTTCTGACACATTTCATGCAATGTAGCAAATATTGTATACAAAAGCCCATTTTTGTAAACAACATTGTTTGCAAGTTGCTCGGTTGCGTGAAATGAAATACAAGTCTACGTGAATGAATGTTTACATCACAATTAAAATTCAGAATTTTTATCTGTGCATGCTTATATGTTCCTAAGCGGACCCTCCGCGTCGTTTTTTAGATATCTAATATGTGCACCCTTGTACCACAAACGAAGTGACAGACGACTAACTGGCGAAGAAATCCATTAAAATAATGTGGATCACAGTAATAGAATTTTCTTCGAAGCTTATGCCATCATCCACCAGATGGGTTAGTTTTTTTTGTTTTGATTTGAACAATGTTGATTTTGTGTACAATCATTCTTTGACAGTGTGTAAAGAGTGTATCATTTTGTCATTTTTTTATGCATTTCAGTTTTGAGTAGAGTGAAAGAGATAGAACCAAAACATTCTAATACATTTGGTGAAAATGCTAGTACAATCCAGTAGTAGTGTTGCCATGTGGTACAATCTAGTAGTAGTGGTGTTGCCGTGTGGTACACTGAAAAATTGAAATAGCAGGTTAGTCACCAAAGTTTTCGAGCCGCTCCGTCTGTCACTTCGTTTGTGCTTGTACCTTGTACCCCGAAATGAAGCATGAATGTAAAAAATAAATAAATGGAAAAACATACCAATAAATGCCAATATTAACCAATAATAATAATCATACCTCTGGGATCTAATGCTGCTTAGTTAGTTCTATCAATCTGCGATGGTTGATTGTTGGCTTCAAGATGGTATGGTTATTGAGAAATCGTTAGTAGACCTCTAATGATCCCCCGCGGCTCTCATTAAAAAGTGATTTTGAAATCACTTAGTCTATTGAGAGGAGCTATTAGTATAAAGCAATAATGAAATAAGTGCTTAATGGTTATAAAGATAGGAACATAAATACTCGCATGAATATATAAAATGCGATACCTTTCAACGACTGCTCATGTTATAAACGTTGGAAGCGTTCTAAAATAAGTACTTTGCCATTTGAAAAGAAGGAAAAATGATATGCAAAAGTAAAGAATAATATTACGCATTTCCCACCAAACTGGACAAATAAGCGCGTTTTAACTTATTAAAAAGTGTGATAAAAGCAAGGGGGGGAGGTGGCTGTCAAATACGAACAATCTTCACCTACCTCGCATAACTGGTTCCAAACGTAAACAAGCCATAAGAAACCTACAGGGTTTGTTTACGTTTGGAACCAGTTTCATACAAGATGATCAGTAGGCTGATTTGACAGCACATCCCCCCCCAGGATAAAAGTGCACGTTTACGTCAAATCGTTTGGTTGTCTTATGGAGTAAGGAATAAGTGCACCGAAGACAACAAAACTATTTGACGTAAAAGTGCACTTTTATCACACTTTTTGCATTTTTGGAGCAGTCCCAGTTTTAGTTGCAATCAGCAATAATTATAGCGAATTTGTTTTTTTATCGGGGCCGGAACCAGTTCCCACGCAGTGCGAAACCGAACTTTTTGACTGTGCGGTTCGCAACCTGAGGAGGTTTTAAAAACAAACGAGGTTTAAGGCTCTGAACCATTTGGTGGATTATTTTAACTTTTGGTTAAAATTTGAAGTTATCGATTAACCCTGCTTTCCGAGCGTGGTTATTTCTGACAGTCAAGAAGTTAAATGTTGACAACCGTGGCTGAGTTCTTCTTGAAAACCGGTCGACCGACAGCACAGGGATTTTCGATCATAGAGAAAAACTTTCGAAATGTCACTTTTAACCTCGAGTTAAATTTAACTCGGCAAATGGTTCACAGCCTACACTCAAAAAATTCCACACGTCATCATCATGTGTCTCACACTTAATTTTGCGCATATTGTGAAACACATCCATTTCATGTGTGAATCTTATGCTATGAACCATGCCTGAACACTATGGATTTGAATTGTGACACACTTGGATTCTATGTGCCTCATATGGCGATATCAATAGCTTTGCACACCATGGTTCAATATTCTACTTTATCGAATTCTACTTTACCGACTCTAAAAATGAATCGACAAATATATAAACAAAACTGCCAGAGGCCAGAGCTTTCACATATATTTTTAATGGGTCTGATTTGGGATTCGATCATGGACTGTTAGGGTATGCTGCTGCCGGAGTCTTCGTTCGATCTCACTGTGCCACGGTTGTTCTCATATATGAGGCAGGTTGATAGGATAAAGTCACAACTCTTGTTATCGATGTTTACCTTTCTGAGCAAGCAATTCACATCGCATTGAAATGCAAAACACTTTAAATCCATCTGTTTTGAACAGTAGCGTGATTCAATGGGCAATACACTTGAATAGATAGTGAAAGATTTTCAACATTTCAAAGTTTGAAACACTATAAATTAACGTGTATAACACATTGAACCAAGGTGAAATACACTTAAAGTAAATGTGATTGTGTATTTAGAAAATCAAGTGTTTAATCACTTCGATCAAACGTGTGAAATTTTTTGAGTGTATAAGGCTCTGTACCATTTCGACAGTGAGCATGCATAAGGGCCTATACGCGATGATCGATTCTCTTCGTCGATTTTCTCTTTTGTTAATAACTCGCAAAATTTACAGTTTCTCGGTGCGTTTGCTGTTGCTTTTTATAGCCAATACAACCTGTTACTATTCTGCATTGAACAAATTCTAGAAAATTGTTTCGCTTAGCTGTAGCAATGCAAAGAGAAAATCGATGAAGAGAATCGATCATCGCGTATTCGCCCTTATGCATGCTCACTGTCAATTTGGTGGATTATTTTAACTTTTGGTTAAAATTTGACAGATGGAAAGTTATCGATTAACCCTGCTATCCTAAAGCCCTACAGTAAAAGTATAGAGATTAGTGACGTTTAACGCACGTACACTAGCGGGAGCAACGCCGTGTAAAGTTGTTTATTATTTTCCTCTGGCTAACCTAAAAAATGTATGAAAGTAGATCTGTCAAAATGAGTTTGACATCGATTTGTTATGTATTTTCCTCGGATATTCACTAACACACTCTCACATATCGCACCAATACAACTGGACGTGAAAATCTCTATGGACGACTGTCACCACAAAACTGAAAAAAGCTGTTCCAATCGAGCAAAGCGGTGCATTTTGACGGTTCGATTGGAACAACTTTTGACACACGTCCATACTTTTACTGTATGCTTTATGCTATCCGAGCGTGGTTACTTCTGACAGACAAGAAGTTAAATTTTGACAACCTT